CTCTAACTTAGATGTTGGGCTGGAGCAATAGCACAGCGGTAGGGCATTTGCCTTGCACACAGCCAACATGGCCGACTCGAGTTCGATTCCTCCGCCCCTCTTGGAGAGCCTGGCAAGGTACCCCTGACTACTCGATATGCCAAACACAGTAACAACAAGTCTCATGATGGAGATGTTACTGGGCCGCTCGAGCAAATCGATGAACAACGGGAGGACCATGACCGTGATCGTGAACTTAGGTGTTAGATTATTAGTTTTAGTTTTTGTGGTTGTTTTAAGGTTCATCAGAAAAATTTCTCCCATTTCAGAATCTAAGCTCAAGTTAGTAATATATTGAGAACTTGAAAGTTGTTTACTTCTATTCCCTCTCTTCAAGCATTTGTGCTATTGTTGACATTTTACTTTCATACATGTTATAAATTGTAGGATAACATTGGTTTGCCCTTTCTCCCAGGCCGCAGGGAGCTTGGGTTTGTTGATTGCTCCCCCTACCTGTCAATTACCTTTGCCTCCTGATTAGACTCTGCTGACTTGTAAATATTGTTTTTCTCTTCTACTTAATATTCTTTGCATGGTTAGTTACTTCAGAGCAATTACTTTTTGTATGGACACAGGAAGACAGTTAAAACGACAAGCCTGTTACTTGGGAGATAATTGACTCCAGATAATATTACCTCCTGAACATCTGCTCTCTCTTACTTCCTAGATCCCCAAAGCACGGTCCCGACAAGGGGCTGGATGGACCCAGGGCAATCTGTGGGCTACCCTGGCATCGAAATGGAACAGGCCAAAGTGCCATCATACTTAACTATATGTTAAGATCATGGCCATGGACAAATTCTGTCATAATCCAAAAAGTAATAACTAGATTCGATCCCTGCTAGGGTTAGGAATAATTAATCCAGCCTGAGCACTGTAGTCTGAGTCTGTGGTGAAATGTTCCCTACAAGCCTAAATGTGTCTATTACTGTGTCCATACAGAATGGCAAATATTAGGAAGTAGAATTACGATGCTTATTAAGTTACTGGCCTAAGGAGAGGAGAACACACTTTAAGTGCTCTTTTGCCAGTGTGGGCTGCAGGTTGTCAGTAAGGCTTGAAAAACATGTTGATTGCACTTCCAGGGGAGGCGTGGCTTGGGGAGACCTGGTGAGAGAGGAGAGAAGAGGTGGCTGAGGTGGGTGTGGCAGCCAGAGTTGCGAGTTGGTGGCAGAATTGAGAAGAAAGTGAGAGTTAGAAGGAGAGCTGTGGGCATAGAGTTGGAGAGAGCTGCAGAGGGTAATATAGAAAGAGTAGTAGGAGAGAGTTGTGAGAGTTGTGGAGAGAGTTTGGGAGAGACAATAGATAAAATAAACGGCAACTGATCACCAACCAGCTTGGCCCTCGGTTCTCCTTGGGAGGCCTGAGGCAATGGCCGTTCTGGGTGTGGTAGTGGTTCGAGAACACCAAACTCGGGTGGTGAAAGAGAGCCACCCAGAGAGCCCGTGAACATCTGTTAATGTGTGAGCACTCACAGGGTCATCGAGCTAAAAGGTATTTACACAGCCCAGCGCTAAAGATTACATAATACACTGAAGGAAGTCATAAGGCTCATGTTATTTTCCCCCATCCTGGGGAAATTTTCCTTCTAATAAATATATGACCTTAAATAATAATAATAAAAAACTATTGTTTGTTTGGTTCTGGTTTTAGTTATTTCAGTTAGAAAGAAAAACCACTCACTTTTACTTCATTTTTAATTGAAGCAAACACACTACTTTAATTTTGGTGACATTTAGTTTTAAAGGTTTTATTTCACTTCTAATCAAAGTATATTTCCTATACTACCTGGACTTCCTGAAAAACTTCAGTGTCTGTGCATGCTCTGCCTAGTAAGCTCATACTGTACTGCTATCTTTGGTCACAAGGTGGCCCATAGTTTTATTTTTTGAATTTCCATCAAGAAACTTGATTTTTCATTCAGTTCTGGGCTTGGAACCCAGAACTTCACACAGGACCAACCCAGAGAAAGACAATTGCTCTGCCATTTATTGAGCTATACCCACTGACCCTAGAACTGAATTTCTAAGGAAACTGAAACTTTTTATTCAAAAGTCAGATAATCTGCATTTTATCTCAAATTGTATTAATATGTAAGGAACCCCAAATTTACATTTGTATCACCAAATTTTATAACTACTACTACATGTATTTATCTCATTCAGTTAATATAGCAAATACCTACAAGTAAGTTATATTGTAATTTATATTATATTAATAACAAATAAATATAAATAAATAAAATAGAAATACTATAAATATATAAATAATTAAAAATAACTTAAAAATTTAAAAATAAAATACCTTAATTTATTTAAGGTCAATAAATTATTGTAGTAAATACCTACAACTAGCACAGAAAATTCCAATGGTCCAATCCATGTCTGTTTCAACTTCTTTCTTGAATGTTCACTTTTTTAGAATCAAGTATACTTCCTCTCTCAGTGCCTGTTCTTTGCTCAGGGATTATTCTGGCTCCAGACTCAGGAGTTACTCCTGGAGAGTTGCTCATGGAAGCATATGGGATGCTGGGGTTTGAAACCTGGCTGACTGCTTACAAGCCTAGTGCCTTACCCATTGTACTAGCTCTTTAGCTCCAAAGGCATCTCTTTTCCATAAAATTTGATACTAACATTGGTAATCATGAGGAAAATATCTTTAATCATTTAAGAAGAGTTTTAGTTTTTTTACCTTCCCTTTGTAGTCTAGACTTTCTCTTTATAAATTGTTATCTTGCATTAAGATACCATGTTCTAAGCACCCAAAGAAGAGCTCTGTAATTGCTTTAGCTTTTGATTCATGATATATGGGGTTTGCCACTTATGATGTTTTCAGCCAGCTAACTAATTTTTCCTTTGGTTTCTTATGTACTACTTTGAGGTTATATTCTAAGTCAGGGTTTGAAGATTTTTTTTGTTACAGTCAGAGAGTTACTATGAAGTCTTTTCTTCTGTGCAAGTTATACCTACTCCACTGTAACACAGATGAGACACACAGCATGTAAATTATTAATTAGAGCTATATTCCAGTAAAACTTTATGAACACCAGTATTTAACTTTGTCATTTTTTTAGAAGCCAATTTATTTTATTTTTTTTTCTTTTTTGGGTCACACCCAGCAATGCTCAGGGATTACTCCTGGCTTTGCACTCAGGAACTCCTCCTGGCGGTGCTTGGGGGACCATATGGGATGTCGGGGATCGAACCCGGGTCAGCCGCGTGCAAGGCAAACACCCTATTCGCTGTGCTATTGCTCTGGCCCTAAATTTCATGTCATTTATACATATCACAGAACCTTGATTCTTCTCAAGAAATAAAAAGGTAAAATTTATCCTTAGATTCATTGGCCCAAGTAAACAGTGAACTAACTAAATTGGAGTATTTGGGTACGCTTTGCCAACTTCAATTGTAAAATCCTTATTATGTCCACAAATCTGTCTTCATAATTTGTGTTTCATTTATTTAGTATACTCCAATTCAATTTTGCTTCCCAGGCACTAAAGTGTGTGACTTAAAATTCTGGTCTCCTAGGTTTCATCCCTGGTATCACACTTGCATATCTCATTTGGGTCTCCACTAAATTCGCTGACACACTCCCTGGCATCCACTTCCATATAGGGTAATTCTTTGCATTCATAGGTTTAAGGAATATGGGTGTGAGTTGTGTCATACTGAAAATGAGCAGTGTTCCCTCAGCCTTCTGATGGTTTCATGAGGGAAAAACATATTTAAGGAGTAAGAGAACTAAGCATGCAAGTTTAAGCATTAAGCTTAATGGGTTTAGAAATTGATCCACATTCAAAATGACATTTTTAAATGTTTTAAATTTAAATTGGGAATTCCAGAAAAATCAATGGGACAATTACCTGGTAGCTCACTGAACATAAACAATTACATTTAAGGAAAAAGAGAATGAAGCATAAAAGGTTAAGCATTAAGCTTAACAGGTTCAAGAAATTTATCCATGTACAAAATGACATTTTTAAATTTTAAAATTTCAATTTATTATGAATTCCAGAAAAATCAATGGGACTTTTTTTTTTACTGGTAGCTCATTTAACTTGCTTGTGAGTATAGAGATCTGACTTTGGAAATGGGCCCAAATATGTGGAAAGAATATCTAAAGGTTTGGTCTTGCGTTTGCCAGTGGCAAACCGAGTTTGGAGAACACTCACAAACTTATTGCCACATCGGAAACACATACCTGGGTGTTAGTTTCATCTTACTGATTTTTCATAAGACACGCAACTTTTATTAGATTTATACTTTTAAATAAAACCCAAAATGTAAGGTTCTGTCAGTATTTTGTAAGTACTCACACTGCTTTCTATCAGGTGGTCAAGATCTTTCACTAAATGTTTAATTCTAGGACCAATCAGAGAATTCTTTTTTTTTTCCCTCCCGTTGATCGTTGATTTGCTCAAGCGGGCCCAGTAAGGTCTCCATTGGAGACTTTGTTGTTACTGTGTTTGGCATATCGAATACTCTCGGTAGCTTGCCGGGCTCTCCGAGAGGGGCGGAGGAATGGAACTCGGGTTGGCCATGTTGGCCGCTTGTAAGGCGAACGCCCTACCTACGCTGTGCTATCGCTCTCTCTCTCTCTCTCTCTTATCAGAGAATTCTAAGTATACGTAATTCTATTGAGATGCCCACTTCGGGGCCAGATAGTACTGGAATTATGGACATGACAAACTGCCTACCTCCACTGGATCATCCCCACATGGTCCGGATTACCTCCAAGCACACAGCCTTGAAGCCCCTGAACACTTCTGGAGTGAAGGAGCACGACCTCAGCAGCACCTCCCTTCTCCTTAACTCTTATTGACCTTACCGGGAATCAGCTAGTATCACCAGAAGGGTCTTCTAGAAAATTACTTGGGGGCCTCCCCACTCAAGGAGATGAGCACTTTTACTTTTCATGCCTTGGATTCATTTATAAAATATAGATGTGAAATAAAAGAATGCTTTTTAAAACAGTTTATTAACTTCACAATATATGGGCATCTTTCCATGCAATAGGTAAAACTCCCCTGCTAACAGAAACTTACAGACTGGGTCAAAAACACAACATTCAATTAGAAGCTGGTAATAGGAGACCCACAATAAACAACAGCAAAATGTTTACAACAAAAGTACATCACGAACATGTAAGTTTAGGAAGCAGGCGTGTCCCCCTATTAACTTCAGGGAAAAGAGTATTCAAGGCATAAGGCAAAATTCATCATGATGGTCATGGTGAGGGGGGTCAGTACTAACTGCCCGCAGTGTATGACTGGACTGCTTTTCCTTCAGCTTTTCCCTCAGCTCCCTCATCTCCGCCCCAATATTTCCCACATTCTCTTCTCTCATCTTAGCCTGTGGCTCTCCAAGCCTCTGAATCATGTCCCATCTATACTGCAGGATGGGCTGCCTAACACGGAACCGCCTACGATTTCCTCTGGGCACACAATATTCAGCAGTTTCCAAAGAGGGGGACTGAGACTCTCCTTTATTAGCATCTTGCTCCTTTACATCCTTCTTTTCCTTTTCCGGATTGGCATTTTCCATGGTCAGGTTGTTCAGCTCTTGTTTCTCTTTGGATGCCATTGCTCCTAGGAGACAAAAGACCAGATAAAGAGCTATCTTCTCCAGTGGACTGATCAGCACCGAGGACAGAGGCCCTACTAAGCACCTTTCAAAATTCTGACTCCTGGATTTCAAAAGCTTTTAAAAACTTCATTTTTCCCACCTAAGAGGCATCCTACGCCCTCTAGGGGGCCCCCAGTCTGGCCTTCCCTCTCTTCTCAGTCGCTTCTCTCCCCTCCCTCCCCCGACCCACCATTTCCCCTGCAGATCCATTCCCAGGCCTCTGTGGGCACCAAGATGGAGGACAGGGAACTGGGGTTCAGGGAAGAGGGGGTTTGGGGGGAAGGCGGGGAAGGGTGGATCGCAGGGGTTTTCAAGTGGGCGCTGGATTGGCGCCCCCGCCCCGTGGCCCGCACCAACCTGGGCCTATCCTTGCTGTCTCCGCCTTCGTCCGATTGTCGCTGCAAGTGCTCCTCGGAGACACTTGGACCCTCAGACCTGCGGGTGGGAGCAGAGACAGCTGCGGCGCTCAGCTCGACCCGCCCACCCCAGGCCTCCCGCCCCCGCCGCCCCCCGCGGCCGCGCTGACCACCATTTTCTGCACCACGGAGGACGGGGGCGGGGCAGGGTGTCGGGATCGCCGGCGCCGGGCTCAGACGGGCAGGCGTCCGCCCGGGATCCTCCCTGGCCCGGGGCCGCGCATCCCTCCTCAGCGCAGGCTTACCCCTGGCGGCCACCCGGCGCGGAGTCGCCGCGGGCTCAGAGGGGCTGCGGGTGCCAAACGGCTCGGGAGCCACCAGCCCTCGACCCCGGGTTGGAGCCTCGCGCCACGTCCGCAACCGCGCACGAACCCGCGCCCGCCGCGCTTCCCGCTCCCTCACCTTCGGCCCCTGCGCCTGCTGCTTTCTCGGAGCCGCCCCGGCCCCCGCGACTTCAGGGCCCCGGGTAAGGGACACCTGCCCGCGAGCGAGGTATAGCAACGTCTGACGCTAGAGGAAGGTGCGCGAGAGTTAGCGTCGGCCAGTCACGTGACGCTACGTCCTCACGAGTGGCTCCGCCTCCATCTCGAGGCCCCGCCTCCGGGGCGGAGTCAGACAAGCCCGCCCACCGACCCGCCCCCCGCCCCCAGCTTGTCTAGCTGAGATCCTTTGAACAACACCCACCTAGGCCAGGATAGATAGTCCATTCTTTGTGTACTTAACGGTTAAGTTTCTTTGCCTACCTGGGAAGAAATGCCATTTTCTTAAGCGTGGGAGGCTGGCTGTTGCTTATTCCAGTTTCTCCAGGGACCTGCTTTTTCCCCATTCCGCTCTTAGGATGTGCTTCATTGCCCCTGAAGTCCTTTCTGCTAAAGTGCTCTGTGCTCTCCATTTATCTCCACTATCTGTACAGACAAAATAAATTGAGGAAAGAGGCTGGGAGAGTGGGTTAGAAATAGTTTTTCTATGTAGAAAGATTGAAATCATGGGCCTTAAACGTACAAAGCAAGTGCAGTGCTCTACTGCTAGGCTAAATCCTAAACTGGATTTGTTTTTTAATTACTGCTTTCTGTTTTGTCTCTTTTATATTAAGAAACAACAACAACAGCAAAAACCAGCATACTGTTTTTTAAAGAAAAAAATGAAGTTATTTTTATTTGTTAAACAGGGTTAAAGTTGGTGGGGAATATTCAACCACCTGCCTCTTCAGCCAAATCATTATATAAATATAGACTACAGGCAGCTGCATTTTTAGAACTTGGAACAGGATGGAGCAGCTGATGGCCTCTCTTGTGAGGGGCCCCTCGATACATGAACCCCTTCTGTGAGGTGAGCCAGTGAGTATTTAATGCATCAGGACTGTGTTGAATTTTCAAAACTGCAACAACAGCAAAAGCTCCTTCACACTTTTCTGTTTCAAAAGGCGATTACAATTTCTTGTATTGCAAATTACACAATCACATATTTAGATAATTTTAAGGTATATACAGTATATTTACTATGGTACTAAGACCTTAATTTAGAAGGCTAAATTTTTATAGATAAAAATCCAACTGTGTTACTATACACAAAAATATTTTTGCTATCCCTAAGTACTAGTAATGAACAATTGGAAACTGAAATTGTGTTGTGGGTATAATTATTAAAACATCCAAAAATACTTAGGAGTAAGTTTAATAAAACATGTAGAAAGCTACAAAGTATTGCTGAAAAAAACTAAAGGTGAAAATAAATGAAAAGATAAAATATGGAAATGGATCTATAAATTTTAGGCTGTTAAGATATCAGTTCTCTCTCAATTGACGTATCATTTTAATCCAGCCAAAATAAAATTTCCAGCATTGGAATTGATGGCATGTAACATGTTCATATCATGTGACAGTCTTACAGTCTTATAAGTAAATTTTGGTGTAAACACAAAGGTATAGAATAGATAAAATAATTTTGAACTCTTCCCCATCTGGAGAATTTCATGAATTGATTTCAATACATAAGGTCTAATTATATACATAGATATGGAGATAAATAGAACAGAGTAAAGACTTAAGCATATCCATACTTATACTGTTTATTAATTTTTAATAAAGTTGTCAAAGTAGTAATTCAGTATATCTGCATAGTACATTTAACAAATAGTACTGAGAAACTGAAAATCACCATGGAGGTGCGGGGGAAGAACCTTGTCTTTTACCTTAAACTATAAACAGTTTATTTTAAATAAAGAAATCTAGTTATGAAACTTCTAGAATGAAGAGATAAGCTTTGCAGAATTGGGAAAGATAAAGATCTCTTAGGGTATGCACAAAAATGATAACAAAAGAATAAATGAAAAATCAGACTTATCCAATTCAAAAGTTCTCCTCTTTAAAACACATGGATAAGAAAAGTAATTGGGAAGCTGAAAGAATATGTTTGCAATATAAGTAACTGACAAAGGGTTTGTATTTGTATAATATATAAGAACTCCTAAAATTCAAAATGAGAAATAAAACTGCATTTTTTAAAAACGGAAATTTAAGTAAGCATTCCCCCAAAATGCATGTATAAATTGATAAATAGGTTATGGGAAGATTCTCAAACTCATTATTCATTTGGGAAATGTCAATAAAATCAAAATGGAATACCACTACAACCTCATCAAAGGAATGTGACCATCCTAAGTATTTTTGACAATATGCAACAACTAGAGCTCTTCTCTCATTGCTAGTGAGAGTTTTAATCACTTTGAAAAATTTTAACAACTTTTTTTTTAATGAAACACCATGAGATACAGTTGTAGACTTAAAAGTTTCTGTGCTTGGGTTTCAGTTATACAGTGATCAAGTACCCATCCTACCACCAGTGCCCATTCTCCACCCCTACCAGTCCCAGTATCCCTCCCACCCCCCCCCCCCCCGTCCCCCATTCTACCCTGCCTCTGTGGCAGGGCACTCCCTTTTGTTCTCTCCTTTTGGGTGCTGTGGTTTGCAGAAGAGGCATTGGATGGCAATCATGTTTGGTTTAGAGTCTACTTTCAGCATGCATCTCCAGTCCTGGGCAGATCTTCCCAGCACCCTATATTTGGTGCTCCCTTCTCCATCTAAGCTCTCTTTACCCCTAGAGTGTGTGGCTGGCCTTAAAGCCATGGAGTGAACATCCTGGTATTAATAACAGCTGTTCTTGGATGTTAGTCTCTTATTTTGTTACTTTATGTTACCCAAATGTCTATCCCTCTCTTTCTGGCTCATTTCGCTTAGCATGATATTTTCCATGTAGTACCACTTGTATGTAAATTTCATGACTTCATTTTTTTTCTAACAGCTACATAGTACTCCATTCTGTAGATGTACCAAAATTTCTTTAAGCAGTCATCTGTTCTCGGGCACTCAGGTTTTTTACATATTCTAGCTATTGTAAACAGTGCTGCAATGAACAAACAAGTGCAGATGTCTCTTCGACTATACTTTTTTGCTTCTTCGGGATATATTCCCAGGAGTGGTATTGCTGGGTCAAATGGGAGCTCAATTTCTAATTTTTTGAATTGTCCATACTGTTTTCCAAAAGGTTTGAACCAGTCAGCATTCCTACCAGCAGTGAAGGAGGGTCCCTTTCTTGCCACATCCACGCCAACACCAGTTGCTTTTCTTCTTTTGGATGTGGGCCAGTCTCTGTGGTGTGAAATGATATCTCATTGTTGTTTTGATCTGAATCTCCCTGGTGATTAATGGTGTAGAGCATTTTCTCATGTGTCTTTTAGCCATTTGGATTTCCTCTTTGAGAAAGTTTCTATTCATTTCGTTGCCCCACTTTTTGATGGGGTTGGATGTTTTCTTCTTGTGAAGTTCAACGAGTACTTTGTATATCCTTGATATCAACCCCTTGTCGGATGTGTATTCAACGAATATCCTTTCACATTCTGTAGACTGTCTTTGTATTTTGGTCACTGTTTCTTTGGATGTGCAGAAGCTTCTTAGTTTACGATAGTCCATTTGTCTATCTCTGTTTTCACTTGCTTGGCCAATGGCGTGACATCTTTGAAGATACCATTAGCTTCTATGTCATGGAGGGTTTTGCCAACTTTTTCCTCAATGTACCTTATGGATTCCAGTCTGATGTTGAGGTCTTTGATCCATTTTGATCTTACTTTTGTACACGGTGTTAGACAGAGATCTGAGCCCAGTTTTTGCATGTAGCCGTCCAGCTTTGCCAGCACCATTTGTTAAAAAGGCGTTCCTTACTCCACTTCACATTTCTTGCTCCTTTATCAAAGATTAGATGATCATATGTTTGAGGGGAGATGTCAGTATATTCAACCCTGTTCCATAGGTCTGCAGCTCTGCATTTGTTCCACTACCATGCTGTTTTAATTATTACTGCTTTGTAGTAGAGTTTGAGGTTCAGGAGGTTAATTCCTCCCATTTTCTTTTTCCCAAGAATTGCTTTAGGTAGGCCACAAAACATACCTCAATAGAATCAGGAAGATAGAAATAGTATCAACAATCTTTTCAGACCATGATGCACTGAGAATAGAAGTGAATCACACACAGACACGGAGAACCAAATCAAACACCTGGGAACTAAAGAACTCACTGCTGAAAAACGAGTGGATCAGGAAGGAAGTCAAGGACGAAATCAAAAGGTACCTGAAAACAAATGAGAATGAAGACACAAGCTACCAGAACTTATGGGATGCAGCGAAAGCTGTATTAAGAGGAAAATTTATAGCCCTGCAAGCATACCTCAGGATGGAAGAAAGGATGCACATAAACAACTTGACTTTACAGCTCAAGATCTTAGAAAAGGATCAACAGAAGAAGCCCAAATCGGGCAGAAGAAAAGAGATCATAAAACTTAGAGCAGAAATCAATGGCATGGAAACCAAAGAAACAATCCGAAAGATCAATGAAACCAAGAGCTGGTTTTCAAGAAAATAAACAAGATAGATAAACCACTAGCAAGACTCACAAAAAACCAGAGAACCCTAATAAACCGAATCAGAAATAAGAATGGATATAACACAACAGAAACCAAAGAAATTCAAAAGATCATCAGAGACTACTTTGAAAGTCTATATGCTACGAAACAAGAG